ATCTTGTTCTGTCATTACTTTTTTGAGTTTTAAGATAAAACCATTTAAAAGATAAAACTCTATGAGACAGCATTTAAAAACTTCTTATAACTTATATTTTCTCTGCAACATTTTTACTTATAAATATCTATACTTAGAAAGCTCAAAAAGTGGAGAAAAAACAAGATAGTTCTAACGTCACGAAATAACAGCAATTTTTAGTAGCAATAAAACAACCGGATTTTTTAAGTATTGCAATGAATTAAGTCCGCCAATGCTTGTTTTGATTGTGCAGTTAATTGATTTTATTCTGAATTTAGATTTAATATTTTGAATATGTGTCAAAATATTATGAGTAAAGAGAACATTTCTAAAGTATTAATTTATGGGGCTGAAGACATTCAAATAAAATTAATGAAACAGATTTAGATGTTTTAAACATATTAATTCCACTCTATCAAAGATACACGCTACACTCGCAAATATAATTAACAAAATTATTACCCAAATATACCTTATTTACAAATCAAACATTAAGAGTGCTGAAAAATGTGCTTAAAAAAACAAAGAACCGGCAAAAATAAAATTTTACTTTTATTTTCCAGTAAATCTTTGGTACATTTTACCAGTAACCTAATATTCAATTTAGCTGCAAATAATATTTGAGCTTATTACAAATTACACACTATCAGGGGTGTGGAGTCGTAAATAAAAAATACGAACTTCGACTCCAGTCATTGAAATTTTTAGAGTACGACTCCGACTCCAACTCTGACTCTAACTCCAACTCCAACTCCGACTCCAACTCCGACTCCAACTCCGACTTTTTCGATAACTCCGACAATTATCGATAAATGTCGAAACTCCGCGACTCCGACTCCACAGCCCTGCATACTATTTTATTATTATAAGTTTATAGTTTGAATTCAAGTAATTAGGCTGCTAAATCCAGGCCTATTAAAACCCAGTATCTAGTTAATTACAACACTTTAACATAATAAGTGTTTTTCTTTTAACTAACTTGGCCCACAACTATTTTATTCATTTCTGCTGACTTGTTTATTACTCAGATTTTACTAAACTCATACGACCTGCATGAAAACATCCTAAAATTTAAGAGAACTAATAAAATATTAAAATTTTTTAAAGATAATAATGTTAAATAATTCTCTTTTAAAGAGGTTAGCCGAATGTCAAATAACCACTTTTGATAGACACTTCAGTCACGTGACTTTTTTCGTGTGACAAGTTCAGAATATAAGTATTGGCGCATCTATTTCGGGAATTATTTTTAAGCTATCTAATTTCAAACCCAAATGCCAGTTATATTTCAGTAGCAAAAAGTAAAAAAAAATGTTGATCTGCGAAGACTATTTTTTAAAGTTTCTTAAAATAGAAGCTAGAAGATTTTTCAAGTCGTTTTCTCCATAGTTTATTTTATTTACACTTTTTGACAAGTATACTGTTTCAAATTGCTTGGGTTTTAACACATCAAAAAAGATTATTAGCTTATTAAATTGCAATATTTAATATTTGTTTTTATAATAATTTGTTTTTTATGTCTGGATTTAAGAATTTAAAAAAAATTCTTTTTCGATATTTTTCTTGAAGCCATTATGGTATAATCCGTTCAACCTACATACCTAGTTATTTAGGGTAAACTGACCTATTTTTATAATGTTTCTATTTTTTAAAATGTGATAAATATTGTATTCTGTAAACTCAATGTTTGGTATTTTTGACATTCAAACATTTTGCGTTTGTAAATCTTTTAAAGTGCTACTAATATTATGATATAATATTGTTATATTATAATACTTATATTAATAATACTGAGTATGCAATAGTTCTATATATAATATATATATATATATATATATATATATATATATATATATATATATATATATATATATATATATATATATATATATATATATATATATATATATATATATATATATGTATATATATATTTTCTATAATGCCATTTTACCAGAAATGTTATTTTAGAAAACCATATAGGTTAATATAAACGATTTAAATCATATAACTTTATGTGTAAACCATCAAAACCAAGTGTGTATGTACCATGTGCATAAAAGTACATGTATATGATTGTAACGTAAGAGTACATGTATATGATTTAATCATAGAAACATAGACATTTATTTTTAGACAGTCATAACCATTTTATAACTAAATTTTCATAGTGTCTTTTTTCACTTTACTTTAGAGTAGAAAAAAATAATAAAACTAAAAAAATAGAAAATTCCAAGATGTTCGTTACAAATTTCACTTTCTGGAATAACAAAAATGGGAACCAAACCTGGACAGCCAACTATTTTAGATAAAGATGAAGAAAAGAAATATAATCATGCAGCTTTATGAATCAGATTTGGTCAATTGCAATTTCTAAAATTTGCTAAAAATTTTGCTTTAAAACATAACAAATTATTCAAGAATGGAACTCCTGCAGAAAAATGGTGGCGTGGTATATGTAAAATGCACAAAAGTTTAACTTGATGTCAACTAGAAGGTATAGCAGCTATTAGACACCAGTGTATGATTTGTAAAGTGTCGAAATTTTTTTCCATTCTTAAAAATATGTTAATAGAAAATAACCTATTTCAAAAACCGCAAAACATTTGGAATATGGATAAGACTGGGATACAAATTGATTATTGTCCAGAAAAAATAGTTGCTAAAAAAAGGAGTTAAGTAACTACTTGTAGGTCAGGTAACTGGGAAACATTCAGAGTAACAGCTTGTGTCAATACAATGAATAACTCTCTTCTGCGACATCTCATATTTAAAGGAAAAACTAAGTCTCTCTCGAGTTTTCAAATTGAAAATGCCCCAGACAAAAGTAAATGAAGTGTTGCAGATAGTGGTTGAACTAAGCAAGACAATGCATTTATATAGTTATTTACAAAGACATTTCTTTACGGAAATTTTGGATTTTTATAAATGTATATGAATTTGTCTACTCTTACAATATAAAAAAGTTCTCGTTCTTTACTAAAGTTTATTTTTTTTGGTTTTTACAGAAATTTCATTGCCTTTGACCCAATTGCCTCAAATGGGGCAAAAAAGTATTGGGGTTCTTACATATATTTTGGATTTTTATAAATGTGTATGAACATGTTTACTCTGACAATATGAAAAAACAGTTATTCTTTAATTAAAGTTAATTTTTATTATTTTTACAAAGTTTTAATTGTTCC